GATAGAGCGTGTGTAAATATAAAAGTGAACATAGAAGTCAACACTTAGAGGCGACAGTCTGTTTCATGCTAGATGCAATCGTCAGACCACCATATATATATATATATATATATATATATATATATATATATATATATATATACATACATATATATATATGTATACATATGATATATATATATATATATATATATATATATATATATATATATATATATATATAAAGGTTTTCCGATTTTAATGAATGTCATTTACGACACTCACATATGACGGATTTTTCTGAATAAAGACAAATGTGGGTGCGATTAAAAAACCTTTTACAATTAAAAAAAAGTGCATGTGAAGAGTTCGAAAAGTTAAGAATGCTTCTTCTCAGGGTGAACGATCCCTGCTTTAGAAAGAATCCCCACTGACATGTGAAATCTGTTTACGCAGATGATGTCTGTGCTAAAGATTAGCTTGAAGTTCGTAAACTGTAAATTCTCAAAGAACAAAGAAAATGTATAAATTCATTTTCATAGGTTTGGGTTTTATTACAATTCTAATAATCCCTTTTTAAGTAATATTGCCGAGTATTTAAACATACATATACTTGCGCATGTGTATACATGCATATGTATATGTATGATTAAATATGTATATATGTGTATGTATGTGTGCATATGTGTATTTGTATTTATGTGCATGTATGTATATATATTTATATCTGGCGTTTGTTTTTTTTTTTACGACGCTGTGCGGGTTGATATATTTATACTTGCTTCTGTATGTGTATATGTGCGTATGTGTATATATATATATATATATATGTGTGTGTGTGTGTGTGTGGATGTATGTGGACATATTTCTGTGTATATGTGTACGTGTATATATGTATATACGTGTGACTGTACACTTGTTTCTGTAGGTAGTTCTTTTTATCTTATTTTCTTTCACCTAATATATATCAACTTATATGATTAAAATATGTTTTATAGATATTTGTGGGTTTGGAATTTTCGTTTTTTAATATATTAATTAATATTATTTTAACCATTTTTATCTTTGTATATTTGCTCGCTTAAGTTATATTTTAATAAGTGGTTAGCATTTGTTTAATGACACTTTCAGTCTTAAATATTTCTTGGTTGTGGTATCTGATTGTCTAGGTCAATGTATGTGGATGTGTGTACATGTATTTATCGGTGTCTATGTGTATGGAAAGTGCATTCACTTTTAATTGTTTATGTGTATATGTGTTGGTTTCCCCCTTTCTTTTTTTATATAAAGGGCCGTGGAGATGTTCCCTGTCTCGTCACTTTTTGTGTGTGTGTATATATATATATATATATATATATATATATATATATATATATATATATGTCTGGGTGCTTATGTATTATAATCTAAATGTGTTTGTGTTGTTTTACGCGTGAGGTTAGGACCCCATTCACACACTTGGGATTAAAATGTATACATATTGTCAGAGGACCGGATGACATATTAGCGTCTATTCTAAAGTAATTTCAATAAAGAAATAAATTGAATAACATATGTATTTCTTCTTTTCTCCTCAGTAATTTTATAATTTTAAACTTAATAGTGATTAAATTTGGATTTTAAAATTGGTAATTTTTACTTTTAATATCAAATTTTATCATATAATTTAATAATTATTGGTTAGAATAAATTCTTTTTTAATATTACCCCTATTTTAAAGATCTGAATAGCTATTATAATATGACTTCGTTGTCAAGCTTTTTGAATTTTCCTATACTTGTATTTTGATTGGTCATTCTAGCTTTGTAACAACGTTTTCCCCTTGCGACGGATCGTTAATTAATGTGAAACTTTTAAAACCATTTATTTTACATTCAACATCATCACTTGATAAGACACCGGAGGTGTTGAAACAAAATGGCTATTTTTGTAATGATTTTATAATATATTTATGTTATCATTTTTTTAAATAAATAATCATATATATATATATATATATATATATATATATATATATATATATATATATAAAGTGTGTGTGTGTATGTATTCTTATATAACAGGGGATGACAGCGACAGCAAATGTATGCAACATTTTGTTGCTCTGCCTACATACAGTCTCTCTCATAAATACTCAGCGTCTATATAGAGTTCTATTTGCATCGCTTGAACGACTATTGACAATGATGATATTTGATAAGTTTTCAGATAAAATCTCCATTCGTTGTTGTTTTCTTTTAAGATTTTGTTTAATATAAAGTCTAGACATGATATAATCTTTGTCTTTGGTAATCGATAGCTGTTTGGATTCTAAAGTGAGATAGAAAATAGATAAAAATAGGCATAATAGAATATTAAACATAAGAAAACGAAACTTTAGAAAGACAAAACTGCTATAATTTTTTCAAAAGTAAATTTATTGTTACATTACGCACGAAAATGAAATTTATTCAAACTTTTTATCTACTGAAACAAAGGCAGGTACACACAGATAAATTCAGTAGTCATTAGTAAAAATAAATATATATATATATATATATATATATATATATAATTATTTTGAAAGTACCTTACTCTGACCAGCGTATTTTTACATTACCGAAACTTCAAGTCTAAAGATTAGTCAAATAATTCATTTGAACTTTTATGTATCTAATCACTGTCGTTACTCTATTTTTAATACCTAGGACTTTAATTGCAAAATCTGGTCGACGTTGTGCTTCAGCAATTTCCTCGTCTTTTGTTAGACGCAAACGATCCTTGTCATTATATACATCTTTCAATTTGTTAAAAAGTAATGATGCATCTTTAGATAGGAAATAAAAAGTTCAGTTGTTGCAAATTGAAACTTATTTGTAAAAACATAACCATCAATCTTAGGATTGACAAAATTTAACTATTAAACTAATTCTTCTATTCCATTTTCTGACATCGGAATAGAACTGATCTCTTTATTACTTTTAATGTTTTTACTAAGACAGCATTTCAGTGGTTTGAATTAATGAACTTTCTCACGTGTTACATCTAGTGTGTACAAAGTCTGAAGTTGGGTCTTAATAATCTAAATAGCTAATCTTTTCTGAGATTATCTTACTGATTATTGGCTAACACTGTCAATTTGATGATTGATGTACTTTTTGTTGAACAAAACTTGTCATTTTGCGTTAACGCTCATTCACCACTCTTCACATTGATGAAGATTGTAGCGATTTCCTTACATACCTAAGGAGCTTGCAATAAAGAATAATCTACTATACTCAAGAAAACATATTAATATCAATGTTGGCTTTGCGGATGACATAGGTGTCTCATCGAGAATCTCAAATCTTTCAAAAAGACTTAATCAGTTTCACAGTGTTTTTGTCGTTGCTAATAACGACAAGGTATGGATTCATCTCTTCCCCAACCAGTATACTATAAAGATAACTCTAAAATCAAAACCACATGTGTCCCTGGTGGAGCACATATTGAACTTTAACAAAAGTCCTCTCAATATAGTTGTACTATAAGCCATAAGCTGGGCATACTCGAAACAAAAATGTACACGTCAACTTACAATAGTCAGTATTTAAACTTATTTAAATTTCATTTCCTACTTCTTATCCGACAAGGAACACCATTATATTTTTCCGAAAGAAAACGTTTTTCTGAGTTTCTTGAACAACCTGCTACTAATGTGAACAATTTTCTCATTAGTATAATGCATGTTAACTGATGATTTTTTTCATAACAACACCCGTTCTCACGTTGTAAATATAACACAGCAAATAATCATGTAGCTGGGGTGGAAAGTTTTTCTATTTGGTGTGTATTCATCGGGTGTCTCATATCTTTCGTTGCATTTGATACTTGTGGTTTGTTCAATGGTTCGAGTTAAGTCCTTAATGCCGAAAAGTTATTGGAATAATTCATTGTTAAAAGGAGAATCTTTTAATGATGAAATAAATAATTAACTGGCTTGAAATTATAGAAGACAAGACAATTCATTGATGAATAAAGCTATTTGAATAGAATATTTTAACGAAAGATTCTAGAACCTTTTGCATAAAAAATTATATCGATAGATAGTTAAATAATCTTGTTTTAGCTTAGAATCGTAACTGTCGGATATATTTCGAATTAGTTTCATTGCTGTCTCATCTCGTAGATTGTGCGCAAGAATGTTGAGTAACTGCATCATTATTTTTAGAGTTAAGGAAGTAAAACTGAAAAATGTCTGTTTCAGTAGAGCTGAAAAGAACCTATGAATACCTGATTCAAGGTAAGTAATTTAATTCTATGCTTTCAAGCAAAAGTAATGTTTTTGATTAACAGTGAAATTAATTTTGACAGTCAGACGGTAACATTAAAAAGAGTTCGACACCCTGTTTCTCATCTACCGGAATATAATAAAGAAAAATGAAAATAGTTTTTTAAGATTTACATTTATGCGGGAGTGTGTGTGTGTGGGGGGTTAATATCAAGTTATATTTTCATGTGTGCTCTCACGCACGCACACATGTACGCATATATATATATATATATATATATATATATATATATATATATGAAGAAAAATAGTCTTAATATGTGCTATATTTATGGGATAAAAGTGCTCAATATCAGAGATAGAGCGTGTGTAAATATAAAAGTGAACATAAAAGTCAACGCTTAGAGGCGACAGTCTGTTTCATGCTAGATGCAATCGTCACGCCACTCGTGGCCTGACATTTGCATCCAGCAGGATATATATATATATATATATATATATATATATATATATATATATATATATATATATATATTTGTATATGTGACCAACAATCTTTCTCTAATGCATGTACTTCTGTTAAGATTTTTATTGTTTTCTTTTTTATTGTTTGTTAAATCTGGCCATTTCAACTGTAAAATGATGAGATCTTATGTAAGGAGTAATGACAAGAAAAAGGAAATGTAAAGGAAGAGATAAAAAGAATAAAATAAAATGATATGACTTATGAGAGAATGCGAATAAGATAAATTGGGAATAAGTAAAAAGAATATTAAGATATATAGAAAGAAAATTGAAGATATAAATCACTACTAGAGACGGAGTAAAAGAACAACCGAGAAAGAAAGAAAGAAAGAAAGAAAGAAAGAAAGAAAGAAAGAAAGGAGACAGGAGACATGTGTAGACGCTTGGTCGCTTTAAGAAACATTGTAAAGATGAATTATATACCATAATGAATTTCCTGATTGTCCATTAAAATAAATTTGTTTTAAAATTAATATCCGGTTAGCGTCAAAGTAATATTGAATAAGTAAAATATGTTTATATATCTGTATATGTCAACGTGGATGCGCAGTGGTGAATAGAAATTTCAATAAGCCGAGTTCGAATTTCAATTGAGTTCTTTACATTCACTTATGCACAAAATCCCTTGAGAAATGTATCTCTTCTCCCCACACCAGCTCTGGGTAAATAGCAGGACAAACTGGGCCCTATAGCCTTGGTTGGCATGGCTATAAGGCAACTACTCCACGAGGAAGAAAACACTGAATTCAAACCACCCTGGACTCCATTAGACTATCTTGCTCCAGACTGTTGCTATATTATGCCCCTACGACCCTAATGAGTTACGGAACTCGTGATCGTTATATATCAACGCTTTTCAAGTGGAAAGATGCTTAATGCATTCATTGATACCTTGGATATTTGCCACATACAGCGCTACTACAATAATAATAATAATAATAATAACGTGTTTTTTATTGGCATGGCACTTCCTGCAGACTGTTATGTATCTGAAGATTTATAAAAACATGAAAACATCAATAATTCCAGATTGTGATTGGGGCCGTAGGTTTGCTTTGTGATCATTTGTAACCCATACCTTAAAGTAATACAAAAAGAAATGGTTCTCACAAGTACAGCTCCCACCTTACGAAGGGTTTTATCTATGTAAAATGTCCGTGCATTTAGGTTGTTTTAAGCTTTTATTATTTCTTTTTTACAAAAATGATCAGAGGAAAATGTCATTATGCCATTTTTAGTCTCTGGTTGGAACCCGGAAGGAAATGTGTATAGAACAGAAATCAAAGCAAATGATAAAAAGAAAAAATAAGCGTGTTGCTTCCTCAGTGCCATACAGGAACTGAAACTCATATGTTGTCCGAGTTATGATGCTTAAATAAAAATGTAGAATGGACGTCAGAGGTGCAACGGATCATGACACAAGACGCACATGCGCACTGTCTTCTATTAAATGTGTTAACATGCTCAAGTAATTTTTATTTAATATTTTTCCGATCAATAATTTAATATTTCGTTTCATATGAAGTTTTCTATAATTATAACCCCGTCTTTTTACAAGGGAAATAGAATAAGTGTTTACATTCTACTTTGTTTGCCTATATTCCGTGTAATTTTAAGTTATAATCGGAAAATTTCCTATCATGTTAACTTACGAAATTGTTATTTGGAAGCCACCATAAATATCTCAATAGGGCGACTACCGTAGAGCTGTAGTCACTAAGCAATCTCCTAGACCTCTGCTACTTCAAACTTCACTATATTCTCAAGTTCTGTTGCCTTGCATAAAATTAAACTAAGCTGAGTAAATGTCTATAAATACAATATAATATAGTTAAGAGGGGTGCTGGAAAGTTCTCAAATCTGAACAAATGACTAAATATAAGATTCTTTAAGAATTTTTGGTCGAGTCGACATTTTAGCACCCCTTCGTATATAGTTTATAAATTTGCATATATGTATTAGATGCCGTTTAATTGTGATACATCATGAATAAATCAATTTGGCCAATTTAGGTAGCTGCTCTGGGTATACGGAGCAATGTATTAACAAATTAAATTCGCTCATAATTCCTGCAGAGTTATTTACATTCGCTTTCGTCCAAATATCCTTGAGAATTCAGAAAGTTATCTATTCATGTCTTGTAAGGCTCCCGCCCAGCTGTGACATATAGCCGTGATGTGGAGTTCACAATTAAAAGCGATTCTGAGGTTGCAGACTGAATGATGAAGACTGAGGTCAAATAAAAAACGTGTGTTAGATCAGCGCTACCCAAACTTCTTGCATCAATGATCGGTATCATACAAGACAATTTTTCCACGAAACGAGGTAGGGGCGTTGTTGGTTATACGCATGACAAAACATGATAAACAAGACCGCAATAGTCAAAAAGTGGGTGAAAATATTATTCTTTCTGTGCGGCCCAGTACCAAATGTTCTACAGTCCGTAACCAGTCCGCGGCCTGGTGGTTGGGAACCTCTGTTAGATGACATCAACGTTTATCAGTTTAATCAGTTTAAAAAGAAAACTAAACACATTCAGTTGCATTCTTCACTTAAAAATATTTTTTCAGATTTTATATTTAATAAAACACTAAAATGTAGTGAATCCTTTAATTTAAGTTCGTTGAGGTTTGAAGCATTTAACGAGTGACTAGAGATACTACTAAGATTTATTATTTGTTGACACAAACTTAATATAAGATACGTTACACATGTTTTAATATAGACACACATGCACACACACACACGCCAACATATATATAAATATATATATTTATATACAAGGAACAAATAGGAAAGCCTTCTGTAGCAAAATAAATAGCAAATCAAGTCAAATTTATGAGTTTCCCTAAATGTACATTATTTCATCTTTAAACTATATCTCCATTCCACACACACACACACACACACACACACACACACACACACACACACACACACGTGTACGTGTGTTTGTGTGTGTTTAATTATTTCACCAGAGGCAAGGCAATAAATTCACTAAGACACAAGAGGTTGCTAAGTGTGTAAAAATAAGAAAAAGAGAAACATTTTTAAGGAGCAAGAACAACAGAAGGAAAGTAATCAAAAAGGCAGTAGATAACGACTGACATCGCATATAAATTTGTGAAGAAGAAAGTTGGCTGGAAAGCATGAAAGCAGGAGAGAGTTCCAGAGAGAGAATAAGCTGTTAGCATATAACTTACAGTTCCATCTAGACAATTCAACTGTAAATTGACGAGATCTTATTGATAATCTGGTGCTGCGCTTAAATTCATAAAGTCTAGATGACATAGCGGAAGGTTTATTGGAACAATTACCATGAAAGTATATATAGAAAATACACAGGTATATATATATATATATATATATATATATATATATATATATATATATATGCACCATCGTTGTGATAGTGATTTTGAACGATCACAGTTACAAACGATTAACTTTGCAATACACTCCTGAAGAGATCGAAAGTACTAGGTTTAAAAAAACTACGGCACATTCCTAAATGAATTTCTCCTTAACATCGAGAAGCTAATTAGCGAACAAGATAGGATTATAATAAAAATAGACATGTCTATATTATTCAATGACAAAACACAAAACGAACTTTTGCTCCAACCAACCACGCATAGCGCGGATGCCACAGATATCCTTCATGTCAGGTTTCCTTACCAAGACATAACTAATGATTATGTTGGCGGGATTGGTTTGTTAATTTGTTTATTATTTGTTTGGGTTAATTTATTTTACTTGTTTTTTTTTATATTATTTTGTTTATTTGTATTTATTCATTTCAGTTTTCGATTTTTAAGTAACGTAGTAAAAATAGTTTTCATCTGCATTTTGAGATGAGCTCAGATCGTTTATTTAGTAATTTATTTTGGTCTGGGAAGGTAATAATAGCTATTTTTCCTCCAAGCAAAGTTTTCAGTTTTTGATTCATTGCTGTAGGCAGATGATCTTTTCCTTATTTTCCATATTTTTGGTCTGATTTGGGTTTTGTTTTTAATTTTCCGAATATACTTGGAAAGCATTGTGCTGTTCGCGTATTTACTATTGGTGAAAGGTGTTTTGTGTGCATAGTTTCTTTGTTTCTAAGGTCCTTCAGTCACTCCTATGTATACTTTCTCTTCATTATCTGGTGATTTTACCGTGGCTTGGTATATTACGTTGTTTTGTAAGCAATTACCGTTTAAGGGACATTCATTCTTTATTCTACAGTTATACGTGTGTTTCATTTGTTCGGGTGGCTTATTGACAGTTTTCCTGTTGTGATTTTTTATTATTTGTGCCATATTCATGTGCAACTGTATCTGATTTTTACAGTGTTTTTATTGAATATTTTGTGTATAGTTCTTGATTCTGGCCCACTCTGTCATGCTGTGTCTTATAATCACTAGGTGCCAGTACCGTGCAACCTGATTCAATATGGTCAGTTATTTCTGGATACCACAGAATCTGTATTTTGGGCTAACGTAGTTTTCAGTGTATGTGCTTGATTTCTAGTCCTGAAGCATTTGTTCTGCGCAACAATTATAAAACCTTCGGTTTCACCTTTTATCCCTGCACTACGTAGCTACTGGTGTGTATGGGGTTTTTGTCTTCATCAACTTGTTTGGTACGGGCTGAATGTTAACCGTGAAGCGGTTTATCTTGCCATCGTTCCTGCATCTGGTCGATTGCTTTTGCTTTCTTTTTTGAGTATTTTGTATTTGAACTTAGTGTCTTTCTTTATTACTGAATATATTTTCTTACTTCTTTCATGTTCTTTGGACACAGATCATCATCCAGTCTTCCGTAGTTTCCAGGTATCCTTGAAGGCCGATTATTTAATTTTGTAAGACAGTTCTAGTTGAACAAATCCTGTCTCCTTCGGATCTAGACACATACAGACGATCAACATCAGCCTTGGGATGATGCATGCAGTGGCAAGTGAGAATGTTTCTTGTTTTGACGTCCATTCGTTTAATGTCAGCTATGGTGCCTTTAAGAATGTTGAAGCTGTATTGCACCACGGGGATAACCAAGGTGTTTATGTCTGATATTCTGTTTTTTGAATTGAACTCGTTATTCAGTACCAGACACGCACGTCTTTAGTATTGTTTTCTTACTTTCTCCTCCATTTGGGTATGCTGTATTCCATCTCGTTCGATAATTCCTAGATACCTATAGGCTTTCTCTTTTTCCAGTTCCCTAATGTTTGTGACAAAATCTAAATCTATTGAGTGTCTCTCTGTATTCTCCCTTTCTTGAATGTTAATTTTGAAGATGTAACTAATCCGAAATTTATAACTAGGTCGTCACTGAATTATTTTACAGCATTGAAAAGACCCTTCAACTCACTGTCGTCTTTGGCAAAGAGATTGAGATCATCCATATAGAGTAAGTTATTAAATACTTTCTTGTGTACTTTGTATCTATAGCTATTATTGTTTAGTTGATGCGTAAGGGGCATTAAAGACCGACAAAACAAAAGGGGTGACAGGGAAACTCCTTGAAAGATTCCTCGTCGGATATTCCAGCGGCTGTAAGTGGCAGTGCCTCTGGTGTGATTTAGGTATAATGTGGTTTTATATATTCCCATGCTGTGTTTAAGGAAATTTAATATTATTATTATTATTATTATACCTTTCAGTTTCAGTATTATAGCATTTGAAAAGATAATGGTGGACACATTAAATTGTAGCTAAAAATATTTGTGTCATTTTGGTTAGAGTTAATGAGTGATTGAGCGAATGAGTTCTTTAATTCAAAATGTCTGACTACCGTAAAACCGGTAGGACCCTTTTGAAAGCTAACTCACATTTTTGGACATGTCCATGTTAAAACAGTCAGTGCGGGCAGAAATGAACAGGCCTATCTGCTGTCTACCCAAACATCTGAATGACTTCTCTATATTTACTGAGAATAATTTAGTATCAAACAAGGTCAAATGCAAGAAAATAAGGCGTATGAAAATTGCGTTACACTAAGCTTTACGTAAAAAATCATCATTCGAAATTCCGTTTCTTAACTGGATGCGAACACTGACCTCGAATACCGGTTGGAAATGTTTAACTATTTCAGAGATGAAACAGACAATTCTAAATATTTGTCTAAACTGGTTAGGGTATTGAAGTACTCAATAAGGATCAAGCCTACAATCCTACAACACTTGTGAATTGACTTTGGAGATAAGCTTTTTCTGCGAAGTCGCGACACTGGAGGTATTTTGTTCTGATCATGTACCAAACTTAAAGATATTTTGAATTTAAAGCAAATCCATTAGTTAACTGTTCACAACAGCTATTACTATTTACACTTGTGACATCTTCGATACCTACTTTATCTTCCACAAATTTTACACCACAGTGTCACATTTTTAACTCCCTCCTTTTTCATCTACTCTCTCTCTCCTTCACAGATAGATAAATAAAATAAATAGATACATAATGATTCCTACTAATAGATTTACAGATGACGATTGCTAACTACATGAAAATAAGAGTTGTGGAAGTGCTATTTAGAAACGCTATTTATTTCATATATATGTCTGTGTGTGTGTTGGTCTGATGGCTGTCGACTCGTTTATCCAGTATGCCAATTTTTAACACATTAACATAAATAAGACAACAATTGCACGGCCAATTTACTTGTTTAAACGAATTTTGCATCAGATTGTACATGTGCATCATGGAAAAGCATTTATTTTATTAAAAAATTACGCTGCTCAAACTGAATTATTATACTATAAATTAAAAATAAATATGAATTATGTGACAGAGTAAAAAATTATATATATATATATAGATAGATAGATAGATAGATAGATAGATAGATAGATAGATAGCGAGACTCTTCGCAAAAGCGAATTGAGTCACTGTCGGTCACTGGGCGTGTTTCTAAAAATAAAATACGCTAAAATCCACCTTCATCCCTACCGTGCGCCGACGGCTTAATGGTTAGAATCTCCGACTGACACCAATTCAGTCGGATTTCGATCCTGGCTAGAGGCAACCGGATGTCTAGCCACACTGATGTGCTGCGAAACAGTCTGTCTACGGATAACGTTATATATATGGATGTACATATATTTACGTATATACATTACATTTATAGTTATTTAGGAAGTTTGCCTTAGTCTGACACAAGATCGCAATCATGGAGAAACAAAAGATAGAACTCACTACATTATTGTCAGATTTACTAGCAAACGATCATTTCATGACATACCTTCAAGTTGTTTTTATATGCAAATCTTTACCTTAGTTTGACACAATGCCTCAGAATTGATGCATTAAATGAAAGTCGCTCTTACTAAAGTTGCCACGATATACTTTTTGAATATTATGATGTATACAGAGATCATAGACCAGTTATCATAAGACAATCCTGCATCGTTTTTTTTTAACTAACCTTATTTCAACATAACTATTGAATCAAGAATTCAGTAACCTATATTATATATATACCATTTCTTCAGTCTTTGATTATTATTAGTTTCCATCATTTTTTGGGGTGTATACTTTAAGAATGTAGGCGATCATAGCTTTCCATAACTTCCCATCCTACGTAGCTCTAAGTAATATTTCTCCCGTCATATCCCTCCAAGTTCCTGTTCTGCCATGCAATCACGCAAGCTCGTTTGGTACGTTACTTGCTCTTTCCATCTGACACTTTTGTCTTTAGTCTGTCCTATGAGAACCAAATTTTCTAAACCATCTTTTCCCTTGTGTCCCAGTAATTTCAAATGTATTCCTGATTTTTAGTAAAGTGTCCTTTTTACTACCATTTTCCTATAACCTTCCTTTTTGTACACATGTTCCATCTACAGTATTCCCAGCATCCTTCTGTAGAACTACATCTCTGTTGCCTAAAGTCTCACCTTCATCTGTGAGAAAATTATCCACCATTCCTTGCCATATACAGGAATTGATATTACATAGCAATTCAGTACATTTTTCATTGTATTTAATGAGATTTTCTTAACTTTAGAAAGGCATTTTCCCTATTCCAGTACACATTCACAATTTGGTGTCACTTTTCCGTCGGCTATTATAAGACTTCCCAGACATTTAAATTTCTGTACTTGCTTGATTTACCAATTAGTAGCTCAAATTGCGGAATGTTCCTCTTGGTGACGACTATACATTTAGACTTCATCGAAATGAATAATGTGTTGATATTTTTCCTTCTCACTATTGACTTGGTGGTCAAGGTAAAGATTAATTCTGCTCTTAAATTGCTTAAGATAAAAAAGACTTTAAACTTTCTAATTGAAATTCTTAATTGCATATATTTCATTATTATTTCTTTCCTTCCAAGACATCCTTCTATAGAAAATTGTCTTTAAATTCTTAGTGGTTTTGTAATAATTTCTACGTTCTTCTATTGCCATGTTACCATTTTGACTTAATCGAAACGAATAGTGGATTCGTTTTGTTTTTGTTTTATTGTTTCTTCTATGACTGTTGACGCGTTGGATAAGGTAATTATTATGTTAATTATATTATATTATATATATTATATATATTATATCGTTCCTCTTTTAAAATTAAATATGAATTAGGACGTTATCTATATAGTAATGTTCCTACATACGGAGATACAGCGACTAGAATATTTCTTCTGTTCTTTCAATCTCATACTGATAAATTATCCAGATAATTGGCTCTCGGTTTTATTAGGATGGAAACATTTTACCTACACCATTGTTCTTGGTCAAATTATCTTCTTATGAAAGTCAACATTAATCATGAGTATAAGATGCCTACTATTTTAAACTCTTCTCTCCTTTTGTTTGTGCCATCATTTCTTTTCAATCGAAGGCTTCCGATGGCAAAGATATTTGCAGTCACTTCAACAAAACTGTAATTGAAAAGATAGAGCAATGTTCTCAGAATATTTTCCGAGCCAAGTAGTCAAATAAAGCATAAAATATTTATTATAATCTTAATGCCATTAAAGAAAAACGTTCAAGTATAAATAAATAGTCACATTTATTAGGATGATTTTCTTCATTTCTTTACAAAATATTTTATTCATATAAATTTATAACATTATTATTCAGTTATGAAAGCATGTCCATGCATTTTTACAAAACTTCACTACGTTGCAGATAAATTGTGTATTTCATCAAGAAATAACGATTCGGGGAATTTTCTGATATCTTGAAAATTTTAGAACTGCTAATCAGATAATAAGTGTTTTGTTGTTTGTTTTTTTTTCATAAATTTTCCACAAGCAAGACGATAATGCCACTAAGACGTAAGGGGTAATTGAGAGTGACAAACACTGAGGAGACGTTAGTTAAGAGACAGCACAATAAGACAACATGAAATAATAATGCAGAAGACGGCGATTGACGTTTCATTTACATTTTTGAAGGTCGTAGATGGCCGGGAATCAAGAAACCAAAAGAGAATTCCACATGCGACTGGTACAGTAGCGAAACTATTAGAATAGATATTACGGTTACAGCTAGCTATGTCGATGATAAAACGATGATACTTATAGGCCAATCTAGTAGTATGCTTAAATGCATACAGTTGTGGTACCCAGGAGGAAAACGCATTAAAACAATTGCGATAAAAACATTTATAGAAAAGACACAGGGCATCAAGCTCAATGAAGTACCAGTTTAGGATCGATAACATTACAGACACACCTTAGGATTTTGTGGAGAATCCAAAGACAAATTATGGCAGCAATATTCAATGTATGGGTGAATGGTAGATTTAGAGACAGGCAAGATGTATAATGGTGGGAAAAATTGTTTGGCACGGCACAGTGAACTAACATTCATAACAGCAAACTAGCAATTGGTTTATTATAATCATTCTACTTCATCTCAGTAGAAAACGTGAGACCAAAAAGGCGCCTGGAGATTAGCAACAGCCATGTTGATAGACAGCAAAAAATGTTATCTGTGATAACTAAAATCTAATAGTTTCGTTTTAGAGGCTTTAAAATTTAAAAGCCATTTGAATTATCTAAGGTCATCGCTCGAGCCTCGTCGTTCTTATCTAAAATCTTGATAGACATATTTATTAATAACCTTTCACAGATCGTCAGGTGACTTCGTGAAAAAAGCCATATTGTTTATTGGGAATGAGGCCTTTAAAATAAAATGAGATTTTAATCAATTCGCAGTTGATTAGAGCCTCTAGTACTTGGCCAAATATAAGTAAAAGTCTAATAGCACGATAATTCGAGGGATCAGAATGTTCATCAGAGTTCTTAAACATAGGGAATACAGAAGAGAATATTTAAAAAAAAGCTGGAAAAGAAGCAGCAGCCAGGCCTTTATTGTAAAATTTGGAGAGAACAAGAGCCAGTTCAGGAGCACATTTCCTTAGGACAATTGCGGGCTTACCCTCAAGTCTGCATGCCCTGTGAGGATCTAGTTTGTAGATGATAGCATAAACCATGGACAGAGTTATATGCATATGCGTTGCATGAAGCATTGCAAATAATCGGTCTGAAGAATATTGCATGAGTAGAAGAACTCATCTTTCCAACCCTGGTATCTTTTAAGCATTGATTTGCAACATAAACACGTATTTTCCTGCTCCGATCAGAGTTATGATCAACAAAAAGCACTTTCCTCTTTCAGTGCATCCTTCAAATGATAAAATAGCTCGCTGTAGCGTTGCAGAACAGTTTGTTCGGTTTACATCGAATAGCAATAAACATTTTCTATTTGAATACATACATTCCGGTTCGGCGATGGTGTTGAAAGCTATTATGAATAATAACCACGATGGTCTTCTTTTTAGATTCTTGTAATAGTACCATTTTTAAATTTCTCCACTGATCATGTTCCAAAAAGATCTTTTATTCCTACTTTTCAAAGATCACTCAAACTTATGACATTTACACCCTTTGGTCCGAAAACAAAAAATAATACACCCATAAAAAGTAATATTATCGTATTCTTCATATATATCTTAAAGGTACTTATTGGAACTCATTTCCCTAGCTTCTAAACTTTTATTAATATATGTAAATATTGTACGGCAGAAACAAAAATTTGATGAAACTTCAAAAGCAATTCTAATATTTCCCTTATACTGTAAGAAGATGCCTAGAATGTTTGCATGAAGCGAACACACACACAGGCACGCATATAATATATATATTATACTACATTTTTTATGCAAGTGAATATTTTAACAATAGAATTAATATTAATCAACTCATTGTAAAAGCTTAACTTTTGAAAAATATTTTTACCAAAGATTTTTTAATAAAAAAGATTTCGAAAATAATTTCATTCATTTGTGAAAATTTCATTAAACTCCGAGAATGATTTGATCTTTGCAAGAATTTCTAAATTAATGTGCCTGTTACCGCAAAAAAGACGAAAATTTGGTATGCTAAAAGTTAGTACAACCACAGACGCAAGAAAAAAGTTTTTTGATAAAAATTTCGAATGTTTTAAAAAGGCGTAAAAAAATTTAATAAAATAATAAATATGTTTTCATTATGTTTGGAGCATGTTTTCATCACGTTATGCTGATTTTTTAGCGATCTCGTGGAGGTACCTATTAAAGTACATGAAAAGCGATTTCTCAACAGTAATTCTTAGTGAAGATTAGCGCTATATTGATTGTAACTGATGGATGAGCTAGAGATTCAGTCTTTCATGAAAATAGTCAGCTAAAATGGCTTAGGAGACAAGATCAAGAAAGTGGAGTAATGTGTGAAGTACGCAGTAGAAAAATATACCCATGATGTCAACATAAATGCAGACAATTATTATTTTTAGTTTTATTGGTCAGAACCCAAGAGGCTTGTGAGCTTATTCAAGGCAATTCTTCTTCACATTCTGCAAAGCCGACTATTGTCCCCATTG